GGTTTCATATTTTCATCAATACCAAAGGTGGGGTAGCCTAGTGGTAACATAAAAGAGTTAGTTTTCTTATGCCCCGGGTTCAAACTTCTTTTGGTAGGGAAAGCTATTCTTTAACTGCCTTCGGATACCGAAAAGATTATGTTTCAAAGGTTCGGAATTCCCACGGTTTATAAAAAAAAATATATATATATTTTCATCAATATTATTCAAAGGTATTCACCGATTGAATGGTAACAAAATACGTGGAACTAATTATTAATACCAACTATTTGTTAAACATGCATTCATAGAAAAGTTATATTATCAATCAAGAAAAATTATATACATGATTTACATATTTTTATGTTTTGATAGAAAATTACATAATTTTTGCTGTAGAAAGATTGTGCTTTTAATCCCAAAGTTTTTTCTTACGATTATTTCTTTTGATACCATAGTTTATTTTCTTCTTAGGTTTTGAACGAATTCATACACATAACTTAAATCATTCATTTATCATACACGATATCAAAACATTTTTATCTAATCAGTTTAACCAACCATGCTTGGATGTTACAATTGTTGCATAATTTTGTATAGTCTAATTTTTCACCATCCGGTTAATTTTCTCAGAAACCGTCGAATAATTTATTAACCAAATTTTTTAACATATTTAAAACATGGCATAATTTTAACTAATTAAATAGAAATAATTATATAATTCCACGCTATAAGTTGATTACAAAACTTTTCAAGTGAAAACCATTTTAGTCCACTACCATTTGAGTTTGTAATCTACTTTGGGTAGTTTATCATGTTTACAATATAAATTTTACATTTGATTTGCAAAGAATAAAATAATGTTTTTTTTTATATAAAAGAAAGAAACATTTAGCAATTTTATCCCGTAAGACTATAACTATACCGTATATATCCACATAAGATATATAGATACACTACTACGATCATAGCAAGGCTCAATAAATTTCCGCATGTGTCTTTGTATTTTCTTGTCGTAAGAGTTAGCTTTCCCATTAATTATACGAAGAGTTTGATCTAGGCCATACGTAAAAAAAAATTTCAATATTCTATCATATCACACATATATAAACCAATTCGTTATTTATGAAAGACTATAAGACTATAATATCTATTTAATTTTATATGATCTTTTAAAGATTTTTTTTAATGTGAATTTTCAAAGTTTTATTCTAAAAATTAGTATTATCATTTTTGTGTCACCAGCGATAACAGTGGAAATATGCACCAAACTTTTCATAATTTCATCGCTGGATATATTTGTTCACTAAAACCTAAGTTGTTGGTTGTGTCTGCAATGTTTATAAACATATATCTTATTATATATAACTGAATGTATTCGGCGTAAATACGGTACACATACAAAATTATAGTTTACGAAATTGATATAGTTGTTAATGTAGATTGTGATACATGTCAATGT